ACTAGTACTATATTTGTCCTTGTGTGATTGACTTATTTCACTCAGCATAATGTCCTCCAAGTTCATCCATATTATGCGGTGTTTTGCAGACTCTACATTAGTCTTCAGTGCTGCATAGCATTCCAGTATGTGTATGTACCATATTTGGTCACCCATTCTTCCACTGATGGGCACGTAGGTTGTTTCCATCTTGTTGCTATTGTAAATAGTGCTGTGATGAACATGAGCGTGCATGTATCTGTTCCTGTCCTGGCTCTCACCTCTTTAGGATATATGCCTAGTAATGGGATTGCTGGGTCAAACGGTACCTCCAATTCCAACTTTCTAAGGAATCACCATATTGCTTTCCACAGTGGTTGTGTCACTTCACGGTCACACAAGCAGTGTATGAGAGTCCCAGTCTTTCCACATCCCCACCAGCATTTGTTATTTTCTGTCTCGTTGAACTTTGCCATCAGTCATTTTCTTTTTTTAGCTAATATTTTAACATAAACATTTCCCCATATTATTAAAAACTAGAAATTGACTTGTTATTTCTCAAGTGTCAGGCACTTTAGGGTTTTTCCAAGTTTCTGTTCTCTCGAATCACACTAGAAGCAACCCTTGCAGCATCAATCCTTGTCCCTATTTTGGACTAATTTTGTAAGGATAAATGATCAGAAGTGGAATTATTGGGTCACAGACTGTGAGCAGTTTGGGATTCTTGATGTAAAAGACTGTATACTGAAATTAAGGAGCACTGTTAGTGCAGTGGTTAAAGCATTTGGCTCCTACTCAAAAGGTTGGTGGTTTGAACCCACCAGCTGCACTGCAGGAGAAAGATGAGGCAGTCTGCGTCCATAAAGATTGACGGCCTTGGAAACCCTGTGGGGCAGTTTTCCTCTGTCCTCTCGGGTTGCTGTGAGTCAGGGTCGACCTGATGGCAGTGGCTTGGGTGGGTAGTTAGCAAAATTGCTTTGTGATGATTGTGTCCCTGCAAGTCCCCAGTCCCCCTGCCTGTGACAGTGTCCTTCCTGCCGTGGTATCCTTAGCCTTCTTATCTCGTGTAAGACTTTTTCATTAAATTCTGATGCGACAGTGCTGCTGCAGCCTGTCCCGCTCTGATTAAATCTGGCTGCAGACACACGGGCTTCTCTTCGTCTTCCTCCCGTGCTGTTCTGGGGCAGGCGCGCCTCTTCTGGGATCGTGTTTAATCACATCTGGGACGCGGCCTTACGGGGGTGTCTCGGCAGCTTTTCTCCACTGTCGTGATGACGGTGTGGGCAGCAGGGGCTCTGGGGTAGAACATTCACCTTCCGTGTGGGAGACCCAGGTGCAACTCCTGGCCCACACGCCTCACCCACACGTCTCACCCACGGCCATCACCGCCTGTCAGCACAGGTTTGTGTGTGGCTGGGATCCTGAACAGGTTCCAGCAAAGCTTGCAGACTCAGGTGGACAAGGAAGGCAGGCTGGGGGCTACCTCTGAAAACAGCCAATGAGAAAGCTGTGGGTCACAGTGGTTGCACCTGGGGTTGTCATGAGTCGGGGGCTGTCTTGGCAACTCATGGTAACATGCTAGTCCTTTGTGGTCTGACCTCTGCCACCACCCTTCTGCACCTGCGGGAAGCTTTGGTTGTCTCTCCTTGTGTTTTACCTCTTAATGGACCTGCTCTTTACTTTTCCCTTTGATTATAATTTGGGAGGTAAACATTCCCTTGTTTTGCTGGTGGCTTTTTGAAAATAGGTTCTTAATGTTCTCAGCCCGTATTTATACTTGTTGTTAGATGCTATTGGGTGACCCCTTGTCCGACAACGAAACGCTGCCCGGTCCTCTGCCATCCTCACGATCATTGCTGCCGCCACTGTGTCGGGCCATCTTGTTGAAGACCCTCTTTCTGCTGACCCTCCGCTTTGCCAAGCATGGTGTCCTTCTCCAAAGACAGTCCTGATAACATGTCCAAAGTACGTGAGCTGGGGTCTCCGTGCCCTCCCTTCTAGAGGTGTTGCCGCCTTCTAGTCTCCCTTATGGAGTAAAAGGAAGTTTTGAGATTTTAAAGCTGTTTTTCTTCCATATTTCTGTATTTTTCAGTGACTTAATCCAGTGTAGTTAAAATGAAACTATGCGCGGTTAATGCTTTTATTTCCTGAGCGCTGTAACCTTAATAAGGAGCTCTGGTGGCAGCCATGCCTAAGGCATCTGACTGCTAGCCAGAAGGTTGGCAGTTCAAACTCAGCAGCCGCTGCATGGAAGGAAGTTGGGGCGATCTACTTCCATAAAGATTTACCACCTCAGAAACCCAATGGGACTCGCTGTGAGTCGGAATCGACTCAATGGCAGTGAGGCGTCCCTCTACCCCCTGTAACCTTAATATTTAATTTGAGTGACCACCATGATTTTGCTTCACAACTCTCCTAGAGGACTTCTTTCTCTGCTTCAGACCTAGGTGACTTGGGGGAGATCCTGAAATATTCTTTGCAGAAAAGGTACTCATCTGATAAGGCTTCAGAGTCTCTGCAGGTTTCTGGGTATCTCCCTGTTGTCCTGTAATGGAATACCTTGTCCCCTGGATGCAAAATCCTAGAACCAACCAACTCCTCCCTTTGGAATCGGAGCTGGGAGCATCACTGGGCACTGGTTGTGCTGAGGGGAACTCGGTGAAAGCTGAATCACCTTCAAAATAACTTAGCTTTTCTATCACCCTCCTGTGCCCTGGTCACATCCCCAACCCTCGGGCTGGGTGCTCCCAACCCACTTCAGCTCAGGATCCGTCTTGGTCCTAACAGCCTGTGTCCTCTGTGCGAACCAAGGTTGGCCTTCTTGTTACTCTGCGGCCATTTGTCTGTCTGAGCCCGATGGCCACTGGACACTGGGGGGTTTGGCCTGTCTGCTCGGAAGGTTAGTCAGTGACCGCGGTGCCTTAGGGTAGCAGACCCAGAGATGAATTCTGGCACAGATGCTTCCTCGGTCTGGGTCCATCTCGGCGTGCCCGGCCTGGTCCTTGGCCCCGACGTCCACCTCCATCTCTCCCTGTGGGCATCTCTTTCCAGCCTCTCTCCATCCCCCATCTGGGCTGTCCTGCACGCCACCCCCGCCCCCCTCCTCAGTCTCTCTGTCTCCCTCTGCTTCCCGTTGTGCAACGATTGCTAATTAATTCCCGATCAGAATGATGCATGCTTTAACATGCTTTCCTTGGGAGGCTTGTTTTCTCCTGCCTTGCAGGGACTGGGCCTGGGAAGGCGCAGTCTCGGTGGACGGGGCGGGGAGAGCAGGGCGAGGGTTCGAGAGAACTGGCGCCCTCCACTGTAGGTGGTTTTCATCATCAGTGTCCTTGAGAGAAGGGACCTGCCAGGGCCTTTTCTCTCCCACCCTACAGCCTTCTGCAGCCAGAAGCAGCCAAGGAACAGCCTTGGCAAACGTCTTTTCTAGAGTTTCTTGACAGAGGGGGAAATTCTCTCTCGCACCAGAGAGCAAAACCTGAGAAAACCCTCCCTGTCCGTCCTGGCCCCCGACTCCTCCTCCTCGCTCCGGCCAGGTCTCCCGCGCACCCCTCCCCCAGTGGTCCTGACCCTGGCGCCCTTTCCTTCTTTCTTTTCTTAGCAACTTTTACTGTGATTTGGGTGAAAGCTTACACAGCACATTCATTTTCCAACACATTTTGTTTCATGACGTTGACTGCAGTTCCCCACAGCGTAGCAGCTCTCTCCCCACTTCCTCCCTGTGGTCACCTCTTCCCTGTGCCCTTCCCTCCCATGCGCTCCGCCCCCTGAGCTGTCTCCTCTGCGAACACTGCCCTTCTGTTCTTGCATGACTGGATTGCTCCTAGGAGTGTATCTCATGACGTCAGTGTTTACCCATAGGCCTGTCTGTTGTTAGGCTGAGTTCAGTTCCAGACCTGAAGGGTGACTACAGCCCATAGCCTGGGGGTCTCACCAGGCTCTGTCAGACCAGCAAACCTGCTTTTCTTTCTTCTCATGATTTTGCGTTCTGAGACCGTTTGCTTGAGGAGCCAGTTTACACTCTCTTGGCTGCTTTTAATTCTTTCTCTGAGCAGCAGCATGAAGATCCAGGAACCCAGAGAATTCTCCTTGGAGGAGGAAAGACTGAGAGGAGGTTGTGACTTCTTTTCCTCTGGTACTTTATCCCTGTCAGCAACACCACCACCACCACCACCACCACCATCATCATCACACCACAGCAGCCACCACCATCACCACACCACCATTACCACCACCACTGCTACCACCATCGCTACCGCCGCCACCACCACCATTACCACCATCATTATAACCACAGCCACCATCACTGATACCACCGCCACCACCACCACCACATAGCCACCACCGCCATCACAACCACAGCTACCCACCGTCACCACAACCACAGCCACCCACCATCACTACTACCACCATCACCGCCATCATCACCACTGCCACCACCACCACCACCACCACCACCATTACCACCACAGCGGCCACCACCATCACCACACCACACCACCACCACCACCACCGTTACCACCACCACTGCCACTATCACCGCCACTGCTGCCACCACCATCGCTACCATCACCATCATCACCACCACCATGGCCTCCATCACTGCTATTGTCAGTGTTACTACCATCGTCACCTTCACCACCACCACCTGCTCCTCCTCCTCCTCCTGGTACTTCTCCTTGTTCATCACAGTAGTTCCTGTTTGAATCTTTGCTGTGTGACCTCCTTGTGATGAGTATTTAATACCCATTTTGTCATGTGATCCTCACCACAGCCTCCTGAGATAGCTACTACAGGGACCACATTATGCCCAGAAAGATGACATAACTAGTATGGGAACCCAAGGTCCCAATCCTGATATCTGAACTCATAGTCCTTACCTTGGAGACAGTACAGCCACCAAGATACAGGAGACAGTGGGTCCCCCTTCCTGCTGCAGGGCAGATGCCCCATGCGCACCCAGACCCACGCCCAGGCTCCCTGCCCACTTCCTACTCATGGCCCCTTCTCTGCCTGTGCAGGTGTATGAGGGCGGGAGCAACGTGGACCAGTTCGTGACCCGCTTCCTCCTGAAGGAGACGGCCAATCAGATCCAGTCGCTCCTGAGCTCTGTGGAGAGTGCTGTGGGGGCCATAGAAGAGCAGACCAGCCAGATCCGGTGCGGTGGTGGGCGGGGCCTGGGTGAAGGTTCAGTGGGGTATCACACACACACACACACACACACACACACCCAGCCTGCCGCTCACTGGGGGTGTTTGTGTACTGAGGAGCCGGGTGACCTTGGACAAGCTGTTGTACCTCTCTCTGTCCCCACTCCCTCATCTGTAAAACGGAACAGTTATATCCTTGCCCCTCAGTCACCATGAGGATACAGTGAGGTGACGCACGCTTAGAGGAGTGCCTGGTGCACACCAGTAGCACCATAACTTCCACGATGCTGTTCCCGGACGGGTGGTATCCCAGGCACAGCAGCTGCTTTACCTGCCCCCGCCCCTGTGGCCCCAGGAGCCGCCTCCTTGGCCCACTCGTGGTCCAAGGGACACGTTTCATTTGCTGCTGGTGTGTGGATGTGTTTGACTCCTTAGTGACTCTGTGGACCTTTCCACTACCTGGGAGCCCACTCGGCTCCCCTGACACCCACTGAGCTGCAGGGGTGACAGGAAAAATGCCAGATGTTCCAAGGCGGGAAGGCTGTACATCTGTGTGTGTGTGTGTGTGTGTGTGTGTGTGTGTGTGCGCGCGCGTGGCTGGGCTCGTACCCTGTGTGGACGTGTGTGGGAACGTCTGTGTGTACTCCCATTTACACAAGGGGTTGTCCAGTCACTGACTGTTTGAACTCCTGCTGTGTGTTGGGCCCAATGCCCAGGGCTGTGTGTGTGTTGGGGGGGGGGTGGCGGCCAGCGCTGAGCGGTCAGGGTCAACAGGTGGTTGTGCATGTTTGCGTGTTGCATGTATAGGGCTGGCTGGGGTCACGTGTGCATGCTGTGTATATAGGGCTGGTTGAGGTCAGGATCACAGATTTCCCTCAGCTATTTTGTGAGACTGGGGGGGGTTCTGGCTGGTACAAACCCCTCACCCCAGAGGGCCCCGAACTCCACTTTGGTTCCTCTAGGTGTCAGGGATGGGCCCGAGCCCAGGAGCTGAGCCGAGGGCAGGTGGAAGTGCCGCGGAGAGCCCCGGATCCCGGAGAGTGGGGCCTGGGCTGTGGGCCGAGCGGAGTTCAGATGCCGACTGGATCGTTGGCTCTGGCCGGGTTGCTGTCTTGTGGGCCTCAGTTTCCCTACTCTAAAACCAAGGCACCGATGCCCACCTCCCAGGGATAGGGTTCCACGGAGCAGGGGGGAGGGCCCTGACAGTTAAGCCAGTGTTTAATCAACGTCAAAGCTGCTAAAGGTTGAGGTAGGGGCCCTGCGGCCTCTGTCATATCCTGGGTGTGTTCCCCACTCACACAGCAGGCAGACCCACAGCAAACCCAGCCACGACGTCACAGAGACCTGGTACGGAAATGCCACACCCCCCTATACCCCCAATCACAAGCTAGCAGCCACGGAACAAGGGAGGAGCCTTCCTGCTGGTGAGAGTGGGGCCTGGGGTTGGGTACTGGCTGGGGGTCCTCGAGGGAATTCTGAAGGCCGCAGAGCCAGGTGCCAGGCCAGCGACCGGGAGGGCTGGAGGAGGCCCCAGGTCCCTAGGGGGGCTGGGAGCTCTCCAGGCCTGCTGCCCACCGTCTGCTCTCCTTCCCAGTGTCTGCAGACCCAAAGGAGGAGGGCCTGGGAGTCCAGGTGAGCCGGCTGGCCGACCTGATCGCAAGGCTGGAGAACAAGGTGAGACCCACCTCGCTCTGCGCCCGGCACTTCCCAGACCCCCAGGGGGTGGGGGTGAGGCCTGGAGCTCAGGCCAGAAGTCAGGGCTGCAGGGGACTCGGGCTAGGAGAGCCATCGCAGGTGGGCTGTGGAGACTGAGGCACAGCTCAGGTGAGACCCCAGGGCCTGTGCCCATTAAGTGGGAATGGGGAATAGGGGGGCTGTTGGGAAGGGGCCAGGCTGCCAGGAGGAGCCTTGCAAGGAGCCGGGCATCGTCAGCAGGGTCACAGGCTGCAAGGGGCTCCGGTTTCTAGGGGAGCTTAAGGCCAAGGTGGTCTGAGCAGACGGTGGGGGCGGGGAGTAGAAACAATGGAGCTGTAAGCAGGATGTTGTAAGTTGCTGTCACATCGATTCTGACTGACGGCAAGCCCAGGAGAGTAGAGTACAGCTACTTCGCTTTTTCAAGGCTGGGACTGTTTGGAAGCAGATGACCAGGCCTGCCTTCTGAGGATCCTCTGGGTGGGTTCAAACCACCATCCTCTCAGCTGGCACTCAAGCAATTAACCGTTTGTGCCCCCCTCCCTGGGTGCTGCCAGCAGGACAGGGTCTACAGTGAGGGCATGGCCACAGGTGTGGCCTTTCCAGAATGTTCCTAGAGAGTGCCTCACTGCCAGAGTACCGCGGGTATGTGAGGAAACCACCGCTGGCATGGAGTCCGCAGAAACACTTAGCGTGGGGCTGCCCAGGTTGGACTTCGGCTGGGAGACTGGGGCCAGGGCCGTGCCCTCTTTGGGCTGGGCTTCCTTCTGTGAAGATAAAGCACTTCACAGGGTGTCATGACGATTAAGGGCTGTCTGCTAAAGGCTTAAGGAGCTCTGGTGGCACAGTCCCTGAGGCAGTGGACTGCTAAGCAGAAGGTTTAAGGTTCAAACCCACCAGCCAGTCTGCTGAAGGAAGACCGGGCACTCTCCCTCTGTAAAGATTTGCCACCTCGGATGGCAGTGTGTTTGTTTTTTGCTCTTGGCTTAGCTCAGAGCCTGGAGTGTAGGTAGCACTTGATAGCAGCAGTGGTAGGAATTGCTCTGGTATTAGGGACACGGGCCCCTGAGCGTGAGCGCACACACCACGCCCACATGCCCGCGTGAGCACAGGTGATGGAACACCTTCCCAGCGGTGGGACGGAGAGGCCTTCACACTCCTTCCAGGCTTCTCTATTTTTTCCATACTTCTGTGGGTTTGCAGTTAGTTCTGAGGGAGCCTGGGGGGAGGCTGCGGGTCCCCCACTCGGAGGACAGTCACCTGGGGAAATGTTCGTGGAGGTGGTGGGGGCGCCCACCTTCAAGCTGAAACCGAGGTGGGACCATCCCTGTGGTGAAGTCAGGCTGCTGGTGGGACCGGCCCAGTTGTCATAACAACGTGGCAGGAGCCAAGAGGCAGGCTCTTTGAAGTTTATTTTTAGCGCCCCCGCCCCGGTTGCCCTAACAACCAAGCTGGAAGCCCAGAGTACCTTGGTGCCCTGGAGAGGGGCCGGGGCCTCTGTGCCGCCTCTGATTGGCCCGGGCTTTGCAGAGAGCCCCGTCCCAACAGGCCCGCCTGAGCTGCTTCCGCCTGCTGGGGGGCTGGCAGGCCAGGAGTGGTGGTGGGGTTGGAGGCGGCCTGTGGGCTGACGGGGGGCACCAGGGCCGGGGGGCACCGGGGCCAGGCAGACAGTGTGCCGGTGCTCTCCTCCCTCCCACAACCCTGTCTCCATAGGCGGCCCCTTAGCCCCTTGCAATGCCCTTTCACAAGGCACGTCCCAGCAGCCAAGGGCTCTCCGGGTCTGGGTACATAATTGGCTGGCCTCGGTGAAGTGAACGTGGGGAGGGAGGGGCAGCATTAAGCTGAGCGTCCCTGTGACCGCACAAGACCTTCTCCCTCCGCAGACACAGGTCTTCCTCATCTGCAAGTGGGTGAACAACCCAGGGGTGGGAGACCAGGCCCAGCCTGTCTCTGTGGTGGGCAGGCAGGGGTTGGCACATATGTGGCATTGGGCGTCCAGGTTCAAAAACAGCCACGGGTTGGGTATCCATCAGAAAAGCTCTAGTTCAAACCTGGGCTCTGCCAGTGAGGCAGCTGGGTGCCCTTCAGAGTGGGGTTGTCAGCTGTGGCGGCTCCTTCAGGCGCTCTCCGAGCCCCTGCAGGGTGCTGTTGGCAGCGGCAGTGGCGGGTCGCTCGTATGGAACAGGAGGGAGGGTCGGGCCCTGTGACACCCGCTTGCTGGTTGATGCGAGTCCCCTGGGGCGGCTGCCGCCGTGTCCACCCGGACGTGCTCGGCCCGTTGTGTGTACCAGCGTTGGGCTGAGCAGGCGGCCTGGGCTTGTTTTCCCAGCTCTTGGGAATGTGTCCGTATGTAACGTGTCTAGCCCGGGGCCTGGGGGAACCATCTCAGACCACCAGGTTCAGGGGGTGCCCGGGGGTTCAAGGGGCGTGGTTTATGAGATGGTGCAGACTCCCGGGCTGTGGGCAGCAGTTGGGTGAAACCAGGGTCAGAGTGGAACCTCCTCCTACCTTCTGTGCAGAACGCTGGTTCCATGCCTCTCAGGGCCCCAGCCATGCAGCCAGAAAGCATGCGGCTTCTGATGGCAGTGCCTTCGGGCTGCTGGAATAAACACACCACAGGCTGGCGGGAACACATTTATTTTCTCACGGTTCCAGGGGCTGGGGGTCCACATCAGGGCATCAGCCGTAGAAGGTCCCTGGTCTCCTTCAGCATCCGGTAGCTGCCATAGTCCTGGGTGTCCTGGCTGTTCCTGCCTGCAGTGTATCTGCCTTTGTTGTCAAGTGGCATCTTCCTCTGTGTGTGTGTGTGTGTGTGTGTGTGTGTGTCTCCTCACCTTCATAGACACTGTTCAGTGGGGAGCAGGGAAACAGACCCTACTGCGGAGGTGGTAACTGCCGCCCAGTCGATTCTGACGCACAGCCCCTCAGTGCAGTGGAGCAAAACTGGCCTCCAGCGGTTTCTAGGCTGTAATCTTTAGGGGAGCAGATGGCCAGGTCTTTTCTCTGGATAGGTCGACTTACTAGTTTATGGTGACCAGTTGAGCATTTAACTGTTGTACCAGCAGGGCTTCTCCTGACTCTAGTATGACTTCACTTAAAGAAAACCTCAATTCTCCAAAATCCCATTCACAGCACAGGGGTGAGGACTCCAGGCGAGTCGGTCCGTCACTTGAGCTCCAGGTCCTGCCTTCTCTGGTCCCTGGTGGGAGAGGCCCTGTCCAGGGAGGCCTGGCCCCTGGAACGCCCTCCAGCACGGGGGCCCAAGGAGCACCGGGAACACTGGTGACACGGGTGTGCCTGCCCGCCCCCAGCCTCACCTCTGCTTCCTTGTAGACGCTCTGGTTTGACCTGCAGCAGCGGCTCTCTGGCATCGAAGGCACCAGCGTGGTAAGGCCCCTACCTCTCCCTGAGCCAGGCCTGGGGGTGGGAGGCAGCTCTGGGTCCCAGATCCCCTTCCCACTGTGAGCACTTGCCCAGGAGCTAGCCTGTGGAAGGACTGGGGTGTGCCTTGAGGGTCTGCTCAAGAGTTTGACCAAAAACAGAGTGGCCAGCAGGACACTGACACCAAAACAAACACAGCCTTGATCAGAACCGGGTTCTGTTGTGTCTCAAAGACCCAGATGCCCGGTGGTTGGCTTGTCACTCATGGACCAGCTGTAGATTAGCATTGCAATTTTGGATTCTTTTATTCTTTCAGAGCAGTCTTAGGGTGCAGAAATGAAAAGTACGTGGGTTCTTTTTTTTTTTTTTTTGACCACTGGCCTGTCCTCTCTGAAGGGAGGTGCTGGGGGCTGTGCCCCTCAGGCGGGGTGGAGGTTTGGCAGGGAGTGGCTGGCTCATGCCCCCTCTGGCCCGCAGCACCTGCAGCTGATCCGGCAGGAGATGGCGGTGTGCCCCGAGCAGCTGAGCGAGTTCCTGGAGTCCCTGCGGCTGTATCTTCGGGCCACGGCGGGAGAGAGGGACTGCTTCCAGTGAGTGATGGCAGGGACCGGGGCATGAGGCCAGGGGGTCCTGGCTTTACCTCTGGGAACCATTTGCACTCTTGGAAACAGCCTTGTGAGTGGTAGAGCTGGGTTCAAAGCCTAGCTCTGGCTTTGCGTGGCTGTGTGAACCTCCTATCCTCGGCGTGCCTGGGGGTCACTTGGGGGTCTCTCTCTTGGGCTGAGGGCTCATCACTCTTCCTCCGTGGGAGGCGAACGCTGCTGGACTGGCAGCTCCTGCTGTGTCTCCAGGCTGGCCCGCCTCTGAGCGCCATGCCTGTCCCACCATGCAGGCAGAGATGCTGCTCACCAGCCTTGGCTGTTGGCCACATCGGACGGGTCTGCCAAAGACGGCCGCCCAGCCCCATGGCTGTGATGGTCCAAGGGCTGTGGGCACAGGCTGGCAACGCTCTGGCCCTGCCTGCCTCCATGACTGGCCTGCAGCCCCAGAAGTCATAGGCTCCAGCCTGCCTCAGCTTGGCGGGCTGCCCCACCTCCTCCTTTCAGCCAGCATCTTGGGTCCTGGGGGGTGGGACCCTGGTGAGATAGTGGGGCACACAGGGGTGGGGGGGGCACTAAGCCAAGGCAGGTAGGAGCAGGTGGGGGTAGGTGCTGGATAGGCCCGGGTCCTGAGCAAGCAGGAAGCTTTAGGGGGCAGTGACCTGTAGTCACTTGGTGGTGGTGGTGGTGGTGGGGAGACAGACCCCAGGGGGTCTGCTTAGGAAGAGAGTAGCAGCTGGGGCTGGAGGGCAAGGCCGAGGGGTGGATTTCGGCAAGGTAAGCAGGGGCATCCATGTGTGTGCTTACTCTGTGGTAAACAGTTTCATGTGTTTCACCACACCTCTGACTAGTAAGCACAAGTAGGGCATGCTTACCTCACGTATTGGGAACTCCCCCCCCACCTGCCGGCTATGCAGTTTTGCTGAGGTGGCTGGGAGGGGGATGCCCCATGGGCTGGGCCTTGTTGGGAGGGGCTTGGCAAGATTCTCCATTCTGCCTCCAGGAACGTGTGTGTGTGTGTGTGTGTGTGTGTGGCTTGGGTTGGCTGCAGAAAGGCCCCTTTAAATCTGAGTTGTATGTACAAGCGTGGAGGGCCAGGCTGGGGGGTCAGGGGTGCAGGTGCTATGTGGCCCAGGATCGGTTGCTCCCCTGGGAGGGATGGGGGAAAGAGGCAGCAGAGAGAGAGGGGGCGGCCCCTCCCCTTCAGCCTGCCCTGCTCCCCCAGGCTGAGGCGGTGGCTCTGCCTGGGCGCCTGTATTCCTCCAGCCCACTCCATTCTATAGGTTGGCATAGGTGCTCACCGTACCCCACAGCCCTTCTCAGGGTAGATGCCAGGTGGAGGGCTCCTGTGTAGCAGGGCTTCCCTGACTGTCCCAGGCCCGCTGTTCTGGGAGCTTGGCCCCCGAGCCTGTTGGACTTGCTCTGGCTTCCGAGTGCTGGAGGGTGGAGGCAGCCTCTCCCCTCTCCTTGCAGCATCGCAGCCATGAGGCTGTTGGACGGCTTCACCTTCGTTGTCTATGAGTTCTGGGAGACCGAGGAGGAGTGGAAGAGGTAGGCACAGCGGCTGTGGGGGCCCCTCTTCTGTCCACAATGCCCTTGGGGGCAGGGCTGTGATGAGCGACAGGGACTGAAATATCACAGCCCCAGTGTGCTCCTCTGTACAAGGGCTGGGGGGTGGGTTCCCCTGCCCTTCTGGTGCTGCTGGGCCAGGCAGGTTCTAACCAAGATGGGCTGTGGGTGTTCCCGGGCCTGGTCGGGCATCATCCTCCTCCCGGGCCGCCTTGCTGGCCTGTCTTGGTCCCAGAGAGGCAGACCCCAGGCAGGGCTTGGCTTGCCAGGCATGGGCCTTCCATCAGGCCAGGCTGGTCTTGAGGCAGGAGGACAGGCCTCTTAGGACATGCCCTGGGCAGCTGACACCTGTGGGCTGGGTCCTGCCTCCCCTCATCCCGCGAGCGTTGAGGCCCTGCACCTGCCCCGGGGGGGGCTGTGCTGCCGGCCGGCACAGGACAGGGGACCCTCCGGAGCTGATCCCGTCTGCCGGATTGCAGGCACCTGCAGAGCCCAGCATGCAAGGCGTTCCGGCACACCAAGGTAGACACGCTGCGCCAGCCTGAGGCCCTGTCCCGGATCTCTGTGCCTGGTGAGGGCGAGCGGCTCGGGACAGAGCCGGGGTGGGGGCAGGGGCAGGAGGCAAGTCTCAGTGTCCAAGCAGGGTCCTCGCTGGCACGATGGCCCAGGTGCGAGAAGGGCCTGAGGCCACTGGCTGCAGGACCAGCAGGTCCTGGCCTTTACCCCCCGACTTAGCTGCACAGTCACTGTGTGTGTGTGTGTGGGGGGGGTGAGTGTGGCACAGATCCCGGGCTGCAGAAACCGTCCTGAGGGCAGCGTGTGCTCAGCTAAAGTCCTATCCCGAGCACCAGCACGGTGGCCCTAGACCCCTACCTATGCAGCCTCAGTTCACAGCTCCTGAGGCCACTGGCTGCAGGACCAGCAGGTCCTGGCCTTTACCCCCCGACTTAGCTGCACAGTCACTGTGTGTGTGTGTGGGGGGGGGGTGAGTGTGGCACAGACCCCGGGCTGCAGAAACCGTCCTGAGGGCAGCGTGTGCTCAGCTAAAGTCCTATCCCGAGCACCAGCACGGTGGCCCTAGACCCCTACCTATGCAGCCTCAGTTCACAGCTCCTGATTCGACAATGGGCAGGCTGCAGGCCTGTGTCCCCACAAAAGGGCTGCTGCTTGGTATATTTGCTCCCTCCCTGGTCACCCCCTCACTTCCTGGACAGCCTGAGCCTGGCACGGAGCACTGCTGGCACTGGGTGAAGGGGGCTGTGCTCTTGGGTAACTGCTTCCCTACCCTGCAGATGGGGAGCAGATGTTGCCCCAGCGGGAGGGGGCCTGCCGCGCTCCCCTGGCCTCTGCACCTACAGCCTCTGTGGGATGTGAGGGGGGCACTCGTCCTCAAATCTAGGTCCTGACGTGTGTTTCTTCTTGGGTCTCTTTGTTTCTTCTCTGTCCCTTCTCTCTCCCCCCCTCCAGCTGCTTGGTGTGCGGTGGCTCGAGACTGAGGGCCCCTCCCAGAGGCCCCCTCTTTTCTGGGAACTTTGGTACACGTGCTGTCTTTTCAATACACTTCTAAACAAGAATGTATTTTCCTGCTGTTTGAAGTGAAGGACCCTGTGTCTCCTGTCCCCTGCTCAGCAGCAGACCGGCATCCAAGCCATGGGCCCTGCTGCGGCCATCAGCTGTCAGGCAGGGGCTTCTGGCACCAGCACCTCTCTCACCTCCTGACCACCCTGCCATCTCTCCCCTTGATCCCACGCATGACCCGTGCCTAGCCTGCCCCTACCCCTCACTCTGGTAGCAAGGGCTCAGCAGGAATTGACCTTGGCCATGCCACCTGCCCCCTGGTTGTAATTAGCTGTAGAAGCTGTGACCCTGTAGTGCCCAACCCAGGCCTGATGGAGCCCGTGGGTGCAGAGCCCATGTGACAAGGAAACTGATGCTGCTGTAGGCACAGGCCCCAAATAAATTCCGGTTGGGAAATCGTGTGTGTGCTGTGTGGGTCCTGCTCTGGCGTGGGCGCCAGCTGGTTTAGGGAGGGAGGGAGGGCGGGTGGGGGCGGGGCCTTCCCGACATGGGACCCAGCCTCCTCTGTGACCCACCTTCGTAATCTGTGAAATGGAGGCAGCACAGGCCTGTGAGCAAACACTCATAGTCACCAGTCAGTGGGGACAAGGTCACGTAACAGAGCTGTTACGGTCGCTGTGCCGAGGCCACGTCAGACCCTAGGAGGGCTGCTAGTCACAACGCAGCCACTGAGACGTACTGGAGTGGGTGAGAATCAGGCCTTCGTCCACGGCAGGGGTCCCACAAAGCGGGTTACCGTGTGACCCAGCAGTGGCACTCCAAGGATGCACCCCCCAGACCTGCAAGCAGGGCCTAAACGGTCTGTACCCCAGGGTCACAGCCCAGATGCCCATCAACAGCCGCTGAACAAGGCCCCACCGTGTGGAGGACAACTACTTGCCACAAAGACAAATGTGGTCTTAACACACCACAACATGGGTGCCGACACAATTGTCTGGTCCCGTTTGTATGCCATCTCCAACAATCTAGCAAGCCAGATTCAAATACTAAAACAGAGCCGAGGTGGCCCGGGGCTAGGGGCAGGGAGGGCGGGCACCGAGGTGCTGCCTGGGTGACAGCACGTGACTGTGTCCTCTGGCACTGTACTCAACACGTAGGAGGAGCTGAAATGGCACATTTCATGTGTATTTTACCTCAATAAAGATTACTTTTTTTAAAAAAGGAAAAAATGGAGCTGCTAGCAGCTGTGACAGCAGGGTTCCACCAATAAGCCCCAGCTGCATACCAGCTATTCCCGTGACACAGAGGACCCAGCTGGCCCTGAGTTCATGTCCCAAGTCCTGTGCTGGAGGCTGTGGGGCCTCCCCGCCCTGCCAGTCTCCTGCTCTGGTTAGTAGACCCCACACCAGGCCTGGGAGCCACAGGGCTGGGAGGGTGACGGGAGGCAGAGGAACCAGGCGGCCCAAAACCGTCACTGCTCCCTGCTCTGAGGCCCAGCCAACAGCCAGGCGTTAAGTGGCTGCGGGGACGCAGTCCCCACTGGCTGCTGGGAGCCCCTGCAGCTGTGCCAGGCCCACCTCCCTCCCGGCCACCTCACACTCACGTAAAACATAACGGGCTCGTGGGAGGGTGACAGGCGGCCCCCATCCCGGCTCTACATCTCCGCACAGGGCCTCAGAGCCTCCACTCTCACCTGTGAAGTGGGGCCAAGCCCCCGACTTTGAAGCCTCAAGCTGCCTGGCTCCTGAGAACACCGCTCACGCCCCCTGCGGGCAGTGACAGCAAGCACAAGGGCTGCCCCCCACCCCCACCCCCGGCTGGTACTCTTCCAGCCGGCTCAGCGCTTTGAAGAATGTTCTCAGGGGCCCAGGCTCCCGGCGGGACAACTGGAGACCCATCCAGCTGGGCATGGTGCCCGAGGCCCTCCGTCAGCCCTGCTTGACCCCTGTTCCCCAACACTACAGCGTCCGCTACTGCCAGCCCACTGTGCTCAGAGCCTTCCCGCGGCCTCAAGATCCCAGGGCAGGAACAGACTCAGAGCAGAACACAGCCCAGAAAGGTGCGAGAGCTCCCACCCTCCACAGCCACATGGGCCAGACACTTCACAAGCACCATCTCTTTCCCTGCACAGCCATAGTATGTGGCAGATGGTCCCCCAAGACCAGAGAGGGCAAGTGACTTCTCAGAGTCACAGCAAGTGAGCGCCACAGCTCAGGTCCAAACCCAGAGCTCCCTGCCCGTCGCCGCGTCTGTGTTCTAACTCCCAGGCCACACTGTGTGCACACGTTAGAGGAGCAACTCCAGGTGAACCCAGCCAAGATTCTGATCAGGTTCCCCCTAAGTTCAACCAAAATGACTGTTATGAACCACAGTTCCAGTCCTGGGTATGTCTAATTCCCATGGGAATCGAAAACAAGCATTCGACAAGCACACAGACACGCACGTTCGAGCAGCACTGTTCCTAACAGCCAGCCGGAGAACCCCCAAATGTCAGCCAAGGAGCAGGCAGAACAGGGCCTGTATGATGGCATCTTAACCAGCCATGAAGGGCAGGGAAGGCCCACGGTGTGGATGGGCTGAGTACAGGAAACCAGTCCCACAGGACCACCTACCACTCAGTGAGGGGACCACCAGGGAGATGGCTCCTGCCTGCCAGACCTCCGAGGGCGACACTCAGCCTGTATTTCTCTGACCTCACCAGTTTATGTCCGTGTGTCAGGCCCTTAGCCTCTAGAGGCCTGGATGTGATGCTCAGTCATGCATAGATCACTCGTGTCTGCACCTGTCAAGTTGAGACAGAAGTCAATGTCCCCAGTGATGACATTCAGTCACCTCTGAAGAGCCCCTCTCTCACCTTTCCTCAGCATTTGCTGCCAGACCACTTCCCTGCTGATGCGCCTCCCTGTCTGAGTGGGCTCCCATTTCCCCTTGGCTGCAGGAAGCTCAGTCTTCACCTTCAATCCCCACCTAGGTTGTCTGAACTCAAGCTGCCTCTGCCTCAGTCCGTGTGTGGGGCGCCCCACAAGCTGCCTTGGACATGTTATTGCCTTTACACTAATCTGCACATCACACTATGCCCATTGTGCTGGTGGAGAAATAGATTCTTACAGGAGGTTCACAAACTGGCCCTGATAACAAATGGCAGAGCCAGGATTCCAAATCTACAGTCCAGCCCAGAGCCAGTTCCCCCACTGCTGTGGCCAATCCCTGCCTCACACACTGTCCCCTAGGACCCTCGCAGGAGAGATCCAGCACAGTCCCGGCCCTTCTGGCCACCACCACGCCTTTCAGGCAGCACACAGGATAAACATGGGACGAGTGGCAGTTCTCCATTCCGGCTGCCCACTCCGGGGAGAGAAATGGCCCATCAGGGCGACCTCCCAGCATGCACCCCAGTCCCCAAGGCCCTTGTACCGGAGGACCTGTGGTCACTGAAGGCAGGGTGTGGCCAGTCATGCGGGGCTTGTCAGACAGAAGCTTGCAGGACGGCCCTGTGCCCCTCATGGTCAGAGTCTATACCTTCAGCCACATAGCCCAGCCCCACCCCTGGCCCAGGCTGGAGGGGGCAGTGGGCTGCTCCCAGGCCCAGGTCAGGCATCCTATTCCCCACTCTTTTGCCCTCTCCTTATGGGGGTGGAGTGGAAAGGAATGGATGACAGAGCCCGGCCCCACCTCAGATCTGGCCCCACGTCTATAACTCACAGGGCAAGTGGCCTTGACTTTACCAAGCTTCAGCTGCAGTGTCTTAGTAAACATCACACTCCACGCAAAGCCATCACAAGAGCCACGTGCCGTGGGAGTCCACATACGTGGCGTATCCAGAAAGGCAAACCCGGACGCAGGAAGGCGATTGGTGGCTGCCTCGGCTTGGGGGCAGGGTGACTGCTACAGAAAGGGTTTTCTCGTTGGGCTGAAGAGGTTCTGGAGCAGGTCATGGTAACGGCTGTGCGGCCTGTGAACGTGGATGGACGGCCACTCCAGGTGGGACAGACAGTGCATACGTGGCCACCAACCTCACGCAGCTCATGCAGGCTCCGTGACATGACCCACGGGGAACCTGGCCACTGCCTTCCCTGATGCAGGTGGCCTCAAATGTCAGCCCCTCCTGCTGGGTGCTGGCACTGGCTTCAAGGACAACGTCCCAAGGCAAAGAAAGAGGGAACTCAATTAACGTCAGGGCCACAAAGACAAGGACGTGGCTGCCCCTACCCCCCCCTTCCCTCCCTCAGTCCTGGGCAGACCGTCCATCTTGTCCTCTCTTTAGCCCAGAGCAGGGGCTTTGGCCCTCATCTGATGTCTCTGCTCTCGACAGCCCCAAGCAGGGCTCCCTGGGCCGCGGCCCCACTCGCACCGTGGCACCAGAGACTGTGCACTAGCGCGAGCCCCGGGGAGCAAGCAGCCCGTGAAGGTGTCCATCCCTCCATGTCTGTGCTGAAAATAAGTGGCGTCTGTTGTGTGGTGGACGGTGCTGCTGGAGACCCTCCTGTTCAGAACAGCTCCAGGACCGCGGCCACCGTGCTCTGGCCGAAGATGAAGGTGCCCACCAGCACAGACAACACGCCCCAGAGCTCCAGGCAGGACCTGCCCATGTAAGGACCTCGAGTCAGTGCACACCCTTCTGTGCAGACAAGCCAACGCTCACGGGAGCAGCTATTTTGGCATAAATTTAGCGTCTTCTCCTGGGCCTGTGGGGTTGGGCTCTCAAGATGCTGCGAAATAAAGGCTCAGGCAACTCAAAGACTCTCCCCATCTGTGATTCCCAAACCCCACTCACCGCAGCACCCTGACAGACACTGACACAGGACAGAGGGCCCAGCTACAAACACCCCTCCTTCCTGCTCCTCACATTGGCGAACCCTCCCAGTGAGGAAGGAGAGGACTCTAAGACACGTGACAGATTGGGCCTCAGATGCTGGGCGGCAGCAGTGGTGGCCGAGGCCACATCAGCAGCCTCATAATGTACCCAGAATGATGGGAGCCAGACAACAGGGCGAGAGCTGACAGCCATTTCTGACCCCATCCGGAAGACAGAGGCTCGCTGTCATGGAAGGAACGTGTCTGCCAGGCAGCTTCCCAGGTCACTAAATGCCCACCCACCAGGGCAAACAGGACTGAGCCGTGGCACTGCTTGGAGCGCCCTCTGTGGGTCAGAAGGACCGGAAGGAAGGGAGGTGTCAGGAAGAATCCGTCAGTGAAGGGAGACGTGAGCCCAGACCAGGGACAAATCGGAAGCAGGATTTCTGAGTCTGCTGTGGGAGTGAGCCCTAGGGGGTCACCTGGCTGCAGGAGCCAGTTCTGACACCAGACTTCCCCGCCCAGAAGGGAGCTCACTGGGCCCACCTCTTTGGGAAAGCCAAGCTAGGGCTCCATGTGGCGGGAGGAATGGGCCCCTGCACTGGGCCCAGACCCATGGCTGGTCAGCTGTGCGACTTGGCTCTATCTACACTGGGTTGGGTGGTGGTTATGTGCCGTTGTGGGACCCGACAGCGACCCCTCCTTGGATTTCGGAGGCGGTATCTCTACGGAAGTAGATTGCCCAACCGTCCTTCTGAGGAGTGGCTGGTGGGTTTGAACCACCAGCCTTCTGGTTAGCAGTCAAATGCCTTAGGTACCATGCTACCAGAGCTCCTCTGGGTTGCACAGTGGCCTCCAAAAAGCTATGTCTCTTGTGCCACGACCTGGTTTGGAAACAGTCTCAGAGGCATCATTAGTTAAGAGGAGATCACACTAGACAAGGGGCTCCAAAATGCAGTCACTTGTGTCCTTGTAGGAGGAGACCAAAGAAGGAGGCCTTCCGAAGAGGAAGGCAGAGAAGGGAGGGGACGCCAGCAGCCAGCAGGTGCTGGAGAGGCCAGGTCCCGTCCCCAGAGCCTGTGGAGGGAGCATGGTCCAGCTGACAGCCTGATTCAGACGCTGGCTCCAGACCCATGGGAGAACGGACTTCAGAGCACGAAGCCCCTCAGCGCGCAGTGATTTGTAACCACAGCCCAGGACCCTCCCACAGGGTCTGTCGCAGTCTCCTGGACTCGGTTTCTACACTGTGACATGGGAGCAAGCATGGTGCCAGTGCTCCACGGGGCCTGCCCCCTGACGGCAGTGTCTCAGCCCCAGCCCAGAGGGCTGCAGGGCCGCCAGGACGCAGGGCTCTGTGGGACGCCAGGACGCAGGGTCCCCAGTCAATCCTGCCCTGGGCCCGAGAAGACCCTAAACCACACCTCCTCCCATGTCAGAATGGGCGCTGCTGGCCGGATTCCAGTCCCGGCTCAGCCACCCTGCCCAGTGATGCCCTGTAACGCTCTCCCTCTGTGGCCTGTGACGCCCTTCTATAGAGGAGGCCAGGCAGCAGGGCCACAGTCATGTGTGCGCTCCTGCTCACGGACTCTCACCAGAGGCCCTCGCATACCTAGCTCACCACCCCTCCTCTGGGGACACTTACTTCAGTCTTGGCCCCAGCGGCTCAACGTCCATGGCACAGATGAGGCACAGACCTGTGAGGGAGATGTGGGGACACGCTGAGCGCCTGGGAGCTCCTCCCCCACAAAGCAGGGACCTCAAGGGGCCAGCCGGGGCCTCTGCCCCAAGGTGGCCCACTGGTTCACGCTGTGCCAGGAGAGGAGTGTGCCAAAGCAAAGGCCCAGGCTGGAGCTAGACATGGGGTTGGGGCCCCAACTCTGCATTTTGTCAACAAGGGAGGTCAGGCACTGCCTGAACCGTGGGAGGTTCACTACCAAAGAAGTTTCTGAAACAGAAGCGGCTCCCCCAGCGAAAGGTGGCAGTGGTGGGCAGACAGAATGGTGGGTTTGGCTCTCAGCTCTGCTGTGTTCTGGCTGGGGGGCCTGGGGGTCTCTGGGCCTCAGCCCTCTCATCTGTAGGGTGAGAAAGACGGCAGCACCCACCCTGGGCCATTGAGATATTCCAGTGAGGTTGTACCGCACCCGGCCCTGTGCCTGGCAGGGTCAGAAGCCACCTAACTCAATGGGGCCCGGACCCCCCAGGGCCGTGGCAGGCCCGTGGGCCAGCACGGAGACCCTGCAGAGCCAAGCTGGGGCAGGAGGCGCATGCGGCCAGGAAGCCGGGCAGGGGGCTCACCTGGGAAGATGAAGATGAAGAAGGAGCTGATGCCGCCGATGACGCCGATGACCTCGCTGAGGTTGGGAAGGAGCAGGGCCATAGCAAGCGTCACAGCGACCCACGACCCGGTCAGCGCCAGCCGCACCCCCAGCCCTGAGGGGTCGGCAGGGCTCCTGGAGCAGTTCCGCCTCCAGCAGTCCTGCAGCACCAACCTGGGGGCCACACCCACTGCTCATCCGGCCACCAGGTGGCCCAGCCCTGTGGCCCCGACAGGGCCTCCCGACCAGCCCCCAGGAGACCAGCAGAGGGGCCGCCAGAGGCAGGCCGAGTGCTCGGGCCCTGACACCCAGGCCCCCCGTCTCCCAGCTGTGAGACAAGGGCACAACACCCTACGCCTTGTGCAAGCTTGGCGTCCAGCACATGCTGAGTCACAGCAGACTCCAGCTGTTACAGGTGCACGTCCCAGGGGGCCTGCACCACAACGGGCTGCACACAGGCACAACAGCCTCGAGGGCACAAAAACAAGGACGCGGCAGCCAGCTGCGCTGCCAGCAGAGAAGGGAGCACCAAGCTGGAGCGAAAGCCCATGAGACAGTGAGGCAGACAGGCAGGCCGTGCCGCCGCATGTGCCGGGAGCAGGCTCCTGAGGCTCACGCTCGACCCTGGGAACAGCCAGGTGACCTGAGCAGCTGGCTTGTTCCCACTGCGAAGGCTCACGTGACGGACCAGGTTTCTCTCTTCACCTCGGCCGCGGGGGAGCTCAGCACCACGTTCAGGCTCCTTCCCAGCAGGGACAGAGCCATCGTGTCTAACCTGATCACCCCTCTGCCTCTTGTCTCCGCCTCCCCGTAAAGCATCTTGTCACTGCACTGCAGACCCTTACAGGCAGCCTTGTGGTTGTTCACCTGCCAAGCAGCACAAAACTGGACAGGACATATATAAATGACACACACGGGGAAGAAAGCCATGACAACAGAGGCAGAGGCTGAAGTGATCCTGTGACAAGCCAAGGAGTGCAAGGCGGCTGGCAACGCCAGGCGCTAAGATACAGCCACAGAAGGGATGCTGCCTAAAGACCTGAGAGGGAGCACAGCCCTGCCAACACCCTGATCTGGGACTGTGGCCTCCAGAGCCACCAGGGGACAGCATCCTGTTGTTTGCAGCGTCCCAGTGTGTGGGAGCCCCAGGACCCTCCTGCCCCCTCTGCACAGACAGGCCCTGGCCGCAGGTGAGCACCAAGAGCGGACTCGCCCAGCCAGGCCTCACCTCCCCAGGAAGAGCACGATGGGGTAGACCGTCACCACAGAGACCGCGAAGAGGACGCGGGCAATGATGGCGACCACGTCGCTGCCGGGGTAGGACATCAGGATGTCGGCAGAAACCTGTGCCCCGAAGGTCAGGAAGCCATAAGCCCCTGCGCGAGAGAGAAGACAGAAGCCAGGGAGCCCGTCAGAGAAAGGCCATGGCCTCCACACCCACACGGACAGCACCTGCTCCACCACCCAGAGGGTGTCCTCAGGAGCTGACGGCAGGGCCAGGGAGGGTCCTACGTCTCCCAAGACTTTCTTGTCTGGAGCCCACGTTACACTGCTGACTCAGCCCCTGCCAGGCAGAACTAGACCTGAGCCCAATTCTGGCCCGCAGCCGGGCAGCCTCCTCACAGGCTGGGTGCTGACCCCCTGCTCCTCCCCTGCAGAGGTGGCGGCCTGCTCGCAGCTGAGTGCTGACAGGAAGCACATGGCACTGTGACACTCTAATATCCCACCCACCTCCCCACCCCCGGCTCAGTCCATCACACTCTCGATAGCTAGACAGCAGCTGGCAGTGCACCCACTGCCCAGATGGGGAAAAACCAAGACCAGGGTGCCCAGAATGCCAGCTGGTGAAGCAGGCCTAGAGCACAGTCCTCTGTGATGAATGAGACGTCCAACATCTCAGTACAGTGTTCTTTCGAGCCCCTTCCGAGGGGTGCCTCGAGCTTGATGAACCCTGGGCTATCTAGGGTGACAGACCTCCCAGCTGGGGAAAATGTCACCCAGAGATTCCCTAGGCAACCATGGGAGTTCAAGGCTATCCTGACTCGCCGGCTGCTGCCCCAAGCGCGTACTATGTCCAATAGGCAGACGAAAGAAAGCACCACTGGACGGGAGGCAGGCAGTGGAGCCCAAGACCTGGGGCAGCGCAGGGATGTGCTGTGGGGCTTCGGACATGGCACCGCACCTCTCTGAACCTGTCTCGTCCCCATGAAGACCCTGATGCTGCCACGTAGACCCGAACCTCCCATCCACTGCCGCGTGTGTGCTGTAAAATGCCCCTAGATGTGCCTGCGGCGACCATGACTATGCTGTCCCCTCCAACAGCAGCAGGGATGCGCTGTGTGAGCCAGGGTTCTGGAGACTCCAGGCCTGAGGCTGGCTCCTGTGAGGCCTCGGGCAAGCTGTGGGTGGGAGCCTCGGAGCCTCGTTTCCCCCTCCGTGAAGGGAGGCATTTGCTGTTGGGTGTGAAGGACGGTGCCCAGCACACAGAAGGCCCTGGCAGTGCTGTCAACAGGGCTGCCCAGGCAGGGCTTACCTGTCAGCGAGTAGATGAGGCAGCAGACCAGCAGGGACAGCGTGGAGACCAGGGCCCAGCGGGAGAGACGCTGGGTGCGCATGCTGCAGTAGACGGAGACGGCGGCTTCGTGACACTGGGGGAAGGGCAGCTTGTGGGCCCCAAACACCCATGTTCCAGAGACAGGCCACCCCAACAGCGGTCCGCGTACAGGAGGATGCTAAGCAAACTGCAGCACACTCATGCGACTATTACATGACCACGGGTGGAGGAGGAACACGCACACGCCGTGCAGAAACGTGAGGTGAGCAACGCAAAGCCGGACACACCAACTCCCACCGTTGTGGGCTTCACACGCATGCTAGCTGACCCCGTGCAGGGTTTCCGGACCTCGGCACCGCTGACATTTGGACCAGCCAATCCTGGTGGTGGGAGAACAGCCTGTGCACTGTAGGAGGCTGACACCGTCACACCTCTCCCCCCAGTTACGCAACCAAAAGCGTCTGCGGACACTGGCAACGTCCCCTGGGGGAGAGCTGTCCCAGCTGCGAACTGCTGCTCTGTGGCACAGTGAGAAATGCACAAAAATGGCAGCCTCTGTGTGTGGGGGGTGCTGCACCGGGACACGGGCACAGTGAGGGCTGACACTGCTTGCTGCTCATCTGAGTGACGTCAGGTGGGAACGCACAGACTTTACTGTGTGGGTTTTTGTGACAGACGTTTAAGGGTAAAATGCACACAACGGATGCCGAGCGCCCACTGTGAGTGGGGTCACTTTACCTATAGGGTAGGCTCAGGTTCTAAGGAGCTCCTGTGGTGCAGCACTAACTGAAAGGTCATCGGTTCAAACCTACCCAGGGACTCTGCAGGACAAAGACCTGGAGATGGGTTTCTGTGACGATTTCCTCCAAAGAGACCCTATGGGGCAGTTCTACTGTCACATGGGGGTCGCTGTAAGTTGGCATCGACTTGATGGTGGCCAGCAACGTGCCTAGTTCTAAGAGGACGCTGGTGTGTGGCCGGGGTTGCGATGAGCTGGTGTCACTAACTGCTCCATGGCTTCTGGCCTCTCCCCGGCCCCTGCCACTCACATTCCCTCTCTGACCGAAGCCACAGGCGCCCACTGCACTCCGGCACTCTCCCCAGGGCCCTCGAGGCCATGCCCCTTCACTGCCTGGACTCTGAGTACCTGTCATTGGACACAGCCACGTGGCAAACACTGGACAGAGCATGTGACAGCCAAAGAGTGGAAATCACCCAAGTGTCCACCCACAGATGACGGACACACAGCAGGCGGTCCATCTACACAATGGAATACTACTCAGCCATGAAGAGTGATGAGGTCCCGTTGCATGCCACAGCATGGATGAACCCTGAAACATCATGCTGAGCAGAACCAGCTGCCAGAGGACAAACACTGTGTGATCCCATTTATGTGAAATGCCAGAAGAGGCAGGTCCACAGACAGAGAGCAGCCCAGGGGTGGCCCGGGCTGCGGGAAAGGGGCTTGGAGGTACGAGGTGTCTTTCTGGGGTGATAAAAACGTTCCAAGATAGACTGTGGTGATGGCTGCACAACTCTAAATCTACCAACACCCACGGCACCCTGCACTTCAGCTGGTGGGTCCCACGGTATGTGAATTACACCCCAGTGGCACAAAAACCAGCCAAGCCAAGTGTGGCCTCAGGGGCAGGGAGGCGGGGCCCACTTTAGTGTCTGGGGGGCATGTTCAATCATGGGGGTGGGAGAAGAGCACCCTGCCTGGGTGCCTGGGGAGGATGTAATAGGCAGCCTGCCCTGCTCACCCCCAGCCAGGCCCCATCCTCACCTGCTTCCTGCTATCTTCATTGACATTTTTTTCTCGTGGCCCCAGCACAGCTCCTGCAGCCCCGTGATCATGCCACCCCCTGGCCTGTGCCAGCCCCTAGTTTTCTACCCCACCCCCTTCCCTTTACTTCACATCCACCCCCAACTCCCCACCACAGCATCTGTGTCCCTGGAAACCACAGCCCAGGCTTTGGTTGCTAGGAGATCACCGGCTGAGGTGAAGGTGAGGGGGCGCCCCCTGTAAACTTCTGAGAGCAGGCCTCCGGGTGAGCCCAGCCAGCCAGATGGTGCCGCTCGGGGTGGGAGAGGCACTGCTGTACTAAATCCAAAGAGCTGACAGCAAAACCATCGCTTTAGATCTTTCAAAACACTGGCGTGCAAAAGGCCACGTGAGACCCTCCGAGCCGCCTGCTAAGCCCCAGAAGCGATGCAGCAAGCTGTGTGCGAAGAGTGCCCGCGAGGAGGAACAGAACAGGGCTGGTGGGCGGGTGGGAGCTGGAGGCCAGGACCCTGTTTGGTCTGGGCGCCCAGGCCTGAGAAGCCTCTTTTACTTTGGGGCAGGTGGCTGCAGCTGTGGGTGGTTGTGGTAGGCGGCTGTTTTCGGAAGAAGCAGATCTTCCCTAAAATAAACAGCAAAAGACCAGAATCCACGGCCACCTGCTACGAGGGCTGGAAGTGCTCAGAGTGGAAGGCAGGCGAGAGCCCAGGGGACCCCTTCTGCAGAACAGCACCTGCCATGCCCCCCAGACAGCCTTGGCTACATGCCTCACCTCCCTCCCCTTCAGCAGGCCTCCTAGCCTCTGAACCTGTGCCCCTAGAGACCCCCTCCCTCCCTCCTCCCACACGTTCTGATAAGACCTTCCTGTAGACTGTAAGCCCGAGGCAGGGACCAGCAGCCTCTTCCTTTCCCACTAGCACAGTGCAGGCGCATGTGTCTAAATGCGTGGCTCCAGTCCTCCCACCTGGTGACTAGTGACCCTCCTGCAGGGATTCTGCAAGGAGGGACCAGGTCCCAGAACCCCACCCTTGAGCCTAGTGCTGGCCACGTTTCCATGTTTAATGGCAACTCACGCCTCACTGAGCCCAGCCCCACGTCCAGACGCACAGTCTATGGAAGACAGCCACGGCCAGAGGTGGGTGTCCGCCTCCCCACACACCCAGCACAAGTCTTCACACCTCTCTCCTAACAGAGAGACAACAAACTCCCAAGGAAACAGAGACGTGCAGGCCTTGACGAGGGCACGCCTTGTGGTACAAAGGCTGCAATTACCTGGAATCCAAAGCAGACGGTAGGGAAGACAGTGAACACAGAGGTCCAGGAGGAAGGGCTGTAAACAGACAAGAGCAGGTGCTCGTCAACGAAAAGCTCCAACGCCTTTCCACTCTCAGGACAAATCCTAACTGGTGCCAGAAGAGGCAGCTGAGCACAACTGCAAGATGCACCTCTGTCGCCAGGTCCACGGCCGGGGTCTGCAGGGGAAAAGGACGCTGCTCAACGCAGCTGGTGCACGTGCGTCCTCGCCGACCTTTGGTAAGGTGACGGTCCGTGCACAAGCCCGCCTATCTCCATAAGGCGAAAGGCTGGGGCACAGGCAGGCTCCCCAACAGACCCCCAAGAGTGCAAGGATGGTCTGAGTTCTGTTCAAATCCCCGATGGATCAAGGGATATGCAAAGGGCAGTACGGTCAGGTCAAGCCCTCTCAGCGGTCCCCACTGGCAGCCCCCGGCCTCCTTGACAAGCACCCCTGGGTGCCAGCCCCACACCTTCCAGGGCTGTGCAGCACAGTGGGAGATAGACAGTGCCCCTCCTAAGCAGCATTTCCTGGCTGCGGTTGGCAGGGTATCGGCCATGCAGGCCACAACCCCAGAACTGGTAATGAGGTTACACCATAGAAGGCAAAGGGACGAGCAGATGGGATTGAGGTTCAGGACACTGAGCTGGGAGATGATCTCAGGCTGTCTGTGTGAACCCTGTGCGGTCACATGAATCCTGGACATCGGGGTCAGTGGGGGCTGTGACTACGGAAGCAGGGTCAGAGAGAGGCGGTGCTGCTGGCTTGGAAGACGGAGGGGGAGGCCGCGAGCCAAGGAAGGCAGGTGGTCTCTGGAGGCTACACAAGGTGGGGGGAGAGGAGGAGGCGGCTCTGCCCACACCTGCCTTCAGCCCCACAACACTGAGCCAGACATGGACCTCCAGAACTGGGAGCTAAGAAACGAGGGTGCTTTAAGCCAGTGAGTGTTCGGGGATTTGTCACAGTGGTGACAGGGAACTCCAACTGTGTCTCCTGTCTGTGCAGCTCAGCCGACTCCACATCCAAGCACAGCTAACAGTGCCTCCTGACCAAGCCCACCCTCCTGACCTTTTCATCCAGCGTGGGTCTTCCATCCTGCAGGCAACTCGAGCCAAAAACCTCTGGGTCACCCTTGAGCCTCCTTGCTCTCACTCCCCATGTCCCCACATCATTAGGACCAGGATTTCACAGGAGGGAGTTGAGGCTCACTGCAAACTTGGGGACATGGTCTTCCAAGGACCCCATCACTGCCTCCCCTGTACCTTCCCCATGATGTGATAAGGAGTCAGTCCCTTAGACTCACCTTTGTGGAAAACGGGGCTCCTGGACCAGGTCCTTGGGCCAGAGGTAATACTGCACCACGATGACCAGGGTCAGGTAGCAGGCGGCCAAGGTGCCTAGGATGCTAACACACACCCACAGCCTTAGGGGAGTACGGTGGGAGGCTGGTATATACAACCAACATGCAGGCACAGAAGCTGCACTAGGCCAGGCCGTGGGCTGGCCTGAGCACGCCTGACCCTCCACCTCTGCCGCTCACTAGGCAGGGGCTAGGCAGAGGCTCACTCCTGAGCCCCGATGCCCACATCAGTACAATGGGGTGGCGGTAGCATCACTTCAGGCGGAGGTGGTCCCAGGCCGAGGTGGCAGACTTGTCGAGTTCCTAGTGGTGGTAGGCCCGCAGCAAGAATGTGACAGGTATGAGGGCCTCCACCTCCCCAGCATAACGTGGGCCGGTGTCAGAGGTATGGCATCTAAGCCAGCCCACTGGCTTGGCTGAACCATGGAGGGGAGGGCCCACCTGGGCTGGACATGCTCCACGCGTGGGTCTGCAGGGGCGTGAGGGCTCCTGCTGGTGTCTGTGTTCTAGTCCCCAGGTGGAAAACATGGCCCACTCATACCACCACGGGGGGAGGGAAGGTGACACTCGTGTGGGGAATTCTGCCAGGCTTTACTCTTTCAAAATTGTGCATAATGCCTCGGACCATTAAACAGAGAAAACAAAAAATTGTGTCCGTGAATGAAAAAGCCTACGACGATTCAACCAAAACGTCAGCAGCAGGTGACACGCCACAGGTCATTTTCTTTGTCAGTTGTATTTCCCACCATTTCCGTCTATTGTAGTTTTTTCATTTGTTTCTCTTCCCCAAGTGGGAAGCCAAACCTCGCCACTGCCCCCTAATCCCACTGACAAGAACCCAACCCACCAATCTGCTGCTCTGCTGGCCTGCACCCCTGGTGCCCCACGTGGGCCAGTCAGAGCTGAGCCCACCAGGTTCCGATGGCTGATTTCATGGAAGCAGACTGCCAGGCCTTTCCTCCAGGGGCCCCCCAGGTAGATGTGCCCGGCAGCCTTCCAATGAGCAGCTCAGCGTGCCGGTCCTCTGCCCTGGCCAGGGAGACCCTGACACAGGCCGTGCTGCGGGTCTGCCGCACCTTGTGTACTTCTGGAAGCCGATCTCCCGTGGGGCCGACAGAGGCAGGATGACCAGGATGGAGAGCAGGGTCAGGGTGAAGTGCTGGTCCACATACCAGGGCCGCGGGGCCACCGGCACACCGGGCAGCAGAAAGTCACACACTGGCAGGGACAGAGGGAGGCGCTCACTCCCAGTGGCCAGTGCAGGCCTGGATGCCCTCACCAGCTGTGCTGCGTTCCAGCCATTGCTAGCCGGGTCCCCCCAAGCACCCACCCGAGAAGACACACCTACCCTGCAGCCGCCCTCCCCGTCACTGAAGCCTGGGCACATCCCTGAACACTCAGCTAGAAACACACACACAACACTCTCTCCACCCTATCAATCCACCCAGAGCCGGGGTGGCCCATCCGCTGTCCTCAGGGCTTGGCCCATTGGCCCTCAAAGACTGAGCCTGAACACATCCTCAGCATCCTTCTCAACACAGCCAGCTAGCAGCTGCCTGGAGCCAACGACGCGATCAGCCCCACGGCACTGGCAGGCCAGGCATTTCTGTGCCTGTTCACCTGCCCGGAAGCTCAGATACACCACTCAGGGTTTTATGGGTAAGATGGCGCTTCCCAAGAGACGTGGTGGTGCGCTGTCCAGTCAATTCCGACTCACAGAGACCCTGGGAGACTGAGTAGAACTGCCCCATATGGTTTCGTAGGCTGTAAATCTTTATGGACGCTGGTGGCCAGGCCTTTTTTTTTTCCCCCAGAGCAGGGTCTGAACCACCGACCTTTCAGTTAGCAGCCAAATGCTTAGCCACTGCACTACCAGGGCTCCTTTCCCAAGAGATGGACACTTCAGATTTCAGTACTCCACAGCCATAGACCAATTTGCTCACGTGCCAAAGGACAGAACAAATAGCAAAACAATCTAACGATATCAATAATCTCGTGCCAATTTAGAAGTCTAAACATTGCAATCAGAAGTCTGAAATTGTCAGAATGGATAAAAATACAAGACCTGACCATCTGCTGCCTAAAGCACATACTTTAATATCCTAAGGCACAGGCAGGAATGACGTACAAGCAAAGAGGGAAATGCTTCGCAAACAGCATCGTAAGGCACCTGGGTAGCTGGGTCAGCGTCAGACGAACTATACTCGGTGGCAAAGACTCGTCAGAGCCGTGAAAGAGATGGCCCATGAAGGGAAAGGGGCAACTCACAGGTCTATGCCAACACCAAAGGCTGAAAAGGCGAGTGTCAGAAACAGAGTTATGAGAGAAACACAATCACACTGAGTGATCTCACAGCCCCTGCTCAGAAACTGACAGACTGCCCAGACCGAAAAACAAAGGAAGAAGGAGAAAGTTCTAAGGCTAGAAGACTGGAACAAAACTGTCAATCATGCTCATCTACCGGGCATTTCTGGAGCACTGCCCCCAAGGACCGCAAACACACAACCTCCTCAAGAGCACACGGAACGCTCGCCAAGAGCAACTGCGCGCTCGGCCACAGAACAAGAATCGATAAAGACCGACGCAATGAACGTGACAACAGAGTGGGATGCAGCTGATGCTGCGCTCACAGGAAGGCTAGTGGGCGGCAGGGGCCAGACGTCCCAGACCTAAGGGTGGCGGCTCTCTCAGAACAGGGGCTCAGTTTGCTCGTCTGCAAAACGGGTGCGCTCCATCAGATATCCCGGCCACAGCCGCTCTCTGGTGACTCTCATCATGCTAGTAATGATCCAGGCAGTCTCCCATGCCAGATGCTAGGAGTGCTAGGAGTGGGGTGTGGTCTTGGCCTCCACTGTTCCCCCTGGCTCGCCCCAGGGCCTTACATCCTGCCCACCAGGCTCTGCCCCTGGGCGGGCCCCACCTCCAGCAGAGGTACGCATGAGTCTCACTGTTGGGGGCCATATAAGGTCTCTGCAGACACGGAATTAGCAGATATAGAACCATAGCACCAGGGGAAAGACAGGCTTCTGCGAGCCTCTATCACGTTTTCATCAGCCCATCAATGCATAACTTATTTCATGTGTGTCTATTTCGTATTTACTTACTTCCTATATAAGGAGCTCTGGTGGCCCAGTGGTTAACCATGTGTCTGCTAATCAAAAGGTTGGTAGTTTGAATCCACCAGCCGCTCCATGGAGAAAGGTGTTGCCGTTTGCCTCCATAAAGATTTACAGGCTTGGAAACACCATGGGGCAGTTAGCCTGTCCACCAGGGTCGCTATGAGTTGGAATCGACCTGATGGCAGTGGGTTTGGTTTGACACTTGACATATGCTGTTGACTCATCAGCACTGAACTGCCAGCCAGCAGCAATGGAACTCATGCCTGAACGGAGCTCATCTAACACACAGACTTTCTCCGGGAGGCACAGCCTTCTTGTGCTTAGGAACAGAAGGCAGGCAGCTGGTTGGGACCATGCGTGGGGGCCACCTTAAAGCGTAAAATAACCAACAGGTAACACGCAGAGATGGGAAAGCACGGTACTAAACGCAGCATAAAAGGACGCTTCGTGCAGCATACAAACCGGGCGACCCTCGGCTGGGAATGCGCACCCTGGGAGTGTAAATTCACCCCCGTGCTGTGCATGTCCGGAACGATCAGGAACCCAGCATCGACTCTGGGGTAAACGTCACAGTCCACGACACGAGCACGGCACTCACGCTTCTCCAGCTGGTCCCCGATCACCCTGAGGAAGGCCACGGAGATCATGAGCAGGTTGACGATGAAGCAGGCCTCGCACAGCTTCCCGAGGCTGGGGCCGCACAGCCCGCGGACCACGCCCTGGTAGCTGGGCTGCCCGCTCACGGAGGCCGCGTAGCCCAGGATGAGCAGCCCGCTGATGAGGAAGACCAAGGACACCTGCAGAGCGAGGCAGTCAGCAAGGGAACGGGCCCGTGGCACCCCATGACACCCCCGCCAGCCAGCCCTCGGGGCCCCAGGGTTGCTCCCTGCCCTGGGCCTCTCATCCGCAGACACTGAGGCTGCCTACAGCTCGGGGGGCCTTGCCTGGAGATGCCACCACACTGGCCTCTGTGTGACCCTGAGGTTCTAACCATTCTGTCCCAGCTGGAAAAACTTGACATCAGACACCCAGAGTCAACTACACGTGTGGGGGGAGTGACAGGGAAGCCTGATGCTTAGGAAGTAGAGCTGCAGCAGCCACCCCGTCCCAGCTCTGTCTGTCTGTGAAGTGCGGACAGTCCATCTGCTTATAGGGCGTGGTGTGCATTAGAATTAAACAAAGCATGCCGAGAACTTAGTTCAGGGCAAGGGCTCAAGGAAGGGGGGCGGCATTTACTGTTACTCCACACACTCCCTTCCTTCTGCTTAAATGCTCTTCTAAGGTTTGTTATGAAAATCTTCAGACATGCAAAAGTTTAAAGAACTCTACAGTGAAGAGCCACATACTCACCACCTAATACAACCACGAACAGGTCACCGCACGGGCAGTCCCTGGGTTACCAACCTCCAACTTACAGCTAACACGTCCTTGCCCTTAATGTGAGGTGAATCTGCCCTCACCATGCAATGACTGAACCAACCCAACTTGCAGCAGATTCTCCACAATCACCTTCACTTGCTACATGTGCAGTTTTTAAATCATCGAAAAGGCTGAGAGGCTTTTCCTTGCACTAAAGTGAGGCTAAATATGAACTGTGTGCATCTGTTCTGAGTCTCCAACAAAATCCACTTAAAAGACACAGTCAGGAAGGGCTCTCATCCGTCACCGGGGCTACCTCTGTTTGTCGCGTCTGCCTCTGTGCACCCCTCAATCCATGCACATTTTGGAAGCTTTTCAAGGTAAGGTGCAGGAATAACTACACTTCTCCCCAAACACTCCAGCATGAATATCATTTATTAGAGCTGATTATTTGCCTAGGAGCTCTGGTAGCACAGTGCCTAAGGCAACTGATGGCTAACCAGAGGGTTGGTGGTTCAAACCCACCAGCCACTCCACAGAAGCAAGACTGGGCAATCTCTTTCCATAAAGATTTACTGCCTCAGAAACCCAACAGGGGTTTGCTTTGAGTTGGAACTGACTTGATGGCAGGTTTTTTTTTTTTTTGGTCTATGGGCCTTTTCAGGAGTTCTGGTGGCTACTAACCAGAAGGCTGGCAGTTCAAATCCACCAGTGACTTCTTGGAAGGAAGGCTGGGCCATCTACTTCCGTAGTAATACCACCTCGGAAACCCAAGGAGGGGTCACGAGTCGGATCTCACTTGAGTAGGATCTCACTCTATCTCACTCGCCGGCAGTGAGTGGATATGGGCCTTTTCTCTCTTGTGAGGTGAAGTTTACATAACAATGAAATGTAGCACAAACCTTAAGTGCAGCGGTTGAAAGGAGGCTGTGGATGGAACAGTTAATGCACTCAGCTGTTAACCCAAAGGCTGGAGTTTGAGTCCACTGAGAGGTGCTGCGGAACAAAGTCCTGGCAGTCTTCTCCTGACAAGTCAACCCCTGAAAGCCACCGGGGCACGGTTCTACTCTGGCACACGAGAAGCGGGTCAGATCTACTCAACTGGTACCGATCATTTCAAGAGTTACAACAAGCGTGCAAGTGCCACCCAGACCCTACTGAGATGCAGAACAGCACTGCCCGTCGGCAACTTCTCTCACGTCCTTACAGACTCCGAGCCCCACCTGCCCTCACAGATGCAGGGCTTGTCCACTTTCCTGCCTGGCTTCCTCCACTCAGCATGCTGCTGGTGAGAGCCATCACATGGTGCGAGTGTATCATCAGCAGTTCAGTTCTACTTTTGCTGATTGATATTCTACTGCATGGACACCCTACAGCATGTTTATCCACTCACTGGTTGGTGGACATCTGTGTTATTTTTGGTTTTTGCTACTGTGAACAACGCTGTGCTGAGCATTCTAGAACAAGTCTTTCTAAGGACACGTTTTTATTTATCCCAGGCACACACTAGACTTGCTGGGTCTCAAGGGAGACATATGATTTCATAAGAAACTGCCAAACTGCCTCCCAAAGTGGTTATGCCTTTTGACATTCTCACCAATGATGGACCCTGCATGCTCTAGCCAGCCCAGAGTGAGGCATTTCTTAGCCTATCCTGAACAGACCACCGCCTGTCCCAAGGCTGGACTTGCTCTCCAAATGCAGGCCCCCACCCTCGTTTCTATGGTGAGAGCAGTCCTGAGCAGGAGACATGCAGACAGAGAAGAGACCTCCTCATGCCCTTCACACACAGTGACCACCACTGGATAAGCAGATGGATCCTACGTTGTTCCAGAAGCCAGACTAGGCCTGCAAGGAGGAACATGGAACTTGAGAGACCAACTGTCCACTAGACCTTTCCCTGTGCTGGCTCCTCAGCCCAGCACACCCTCCCGGCCTCCACTCCCCCTTCAGCTGGAGAACTCCCACTCACTCTCTCCAACATCACTCCTTCCAGAAAGCCTGCCCAGCCTCTACCCCCAGGCTGGGCCGAAACCTCCATTTCAGGCCCTGAAAGAAGCACCCGGTTGCTGCTGTTAGGTGCCATCAAGTTGGCTCCAACTCATAGAGACCCTATGTACAACAGAAAGAAACGCTGCCTAGTCCTGCGTCAGCCTCACAATCCTTGCAATACCTGAGACCATCGCTGTAGCCAACATCACCTCATCCCGTTGAGGGCCTTCCTCTTTTTCACTGACCTTCCACTTACCAAGCGTGACATGCTTCATCAGGGAATGGTCCCTTCTGACAACATGACCAAAATAGATGAGACAAAGTCTGGCTATTCTCACTTGCAAGGAGCATTCCAGCTGTACTTCCTCCAGGACAGATGTGTTAGATCTTTTAGCAGTCCGTGGTACTTTCATTATTCTTGGCCAAAAGCACAACTCAAAAGCATCAAGTCTTCTTCAATCTTCCTTATTCATTTTCCAGCTCTCACATGTATATGAAGGAAGTGAAAATACCGTGGCTTGGGTTAGGTGCACCTTAGTCTTCAAGGAGACATCTTTGCTCTTCAGCACTTTAAAGAGGTCTTTGTGTGTGTGTGTGATTTGGGTGA